TTCCCTACCCCAATGTCTCCCAGAGTTTCCCCAGTGTTTTCCAGGAGCAGTTCTATAATTTGAGGTCTTAGATTTAGATCCTTGATCCACCTTGACTTGATTTTTGTCAACAGTGAGAGGTAGGGGTTCAGATTCATCTTTCTACAGGTGGAAATCCAGTTTTTCCAGCACCACTTGCAGAAGAGGTTTTCCTTTTCCCATTGTATTGACTGGTACCCCTTGTCAAAAATCAGTTGACTGTATGTTTGGGCATTTATTTCTAAGGATTCTATTATTTTCCATAGGTTCTCCTGTCTGTTTCTGTGCCAGTACCATGCTGTTTTGATTACCACAGCTTTGTAGTATATTTTTGGGTCAGGGAGTGAAATGCAGCCCCCTCCACTCTTCTTTTGTAGAATCGTTTTTGCAATACAGGGTCTTTTATGATTCCAGACAAATTTTATGATTGTCTTTTCTAGATCTGTGAAGAATGTATCTGGTACTTTGATTGGCATTGCATTAAATATGTAGACTAATTTGTGTAGAATTGCCATTTTGATTATATTGATTCTTCCAATCCAGGAACATGGCAAGTCCTTCCACTTTTTTGTGTCATTTTCAATTTCTTTTCTTAGCTTCTCGTACTTTTCCCTATGGAAGTCTTTAACTTCTTTGGTTAGATTTATTCCTAAGTATCATATACTTTTTGTGGCTATGTTAAATGGAATAACTTTTTTCAGTTCTATCTCAGTCTGCCTGTTGTTCTTATATAGAAATGCTATCGATTTCTGTATATTGATTTTATATCCTGCAACTTTACTGCAATCATGTATTACTTCCAGTAATTTTTTCATGGAGACCATTGGGTCTTCTATGTATACAATCATGTCATCTGCGAATAGAGAGAGATTCACTTCTTCTTTTCCTATTTGGATGCCTTTTATTTTTTCCTCTTTTCTGATTGCATTGGCGAGGACTTCCAGTACTATATAAAAAAGGAGTGGAGAGAGCAGGTATCCTTGTCTTGTTCCCGTGTTTAGTGGGAAAGCTTTCAGTTTTTCTCCATTCAGGGTGATGTTTGCCAAGGGTTTTTCATAGATGGCTTTTATTGTGTTGAGAAATGGCCCTTCTATGCTGATTTTGCTGAGAGTCTTGATCATGAAGGGATGCTTTATCTTATCAAATGCTTTTTCTGCATCAATTGATATGGCCATATGGTTTTTATCTTTATTCCTGTTAATATGGTGTATTACATTTATGGTTTTGCATATGTTGAAACCAACCTTGCATTCCTGGAATAAAGTCTACCTGATTATGATGTATGATCTTTTTTATAAGTTGTTGGATACAATTTTCTATTATCTTGTTGAGAATCTTTGCGTCTATATTCATCAGAGA